CTGGGTGCTGTTTCTCAGCTCTTCAGCTCAAGGAGAGTGCTCTACCACTTGAGCCAAAGCGCCACTTCCAGCTTTTTCTGCTTATGTGGTGCAATCAAACCCAGGGTCTCGTGCATGCAAGGCAAGCACTCTACCACTGAGCCGCCTTCCCAGCCCTCTTCTTAAGTCTTGAGAGCTAGTTTTTGGTCTTGACTTGTAGAGAAGAAAATAACTCCCTATCCACTAGTCAAGTCTGATTTCTGTCCACAATAGGTAGCCTTTGCTCAAACTGGCCCAAAGCCATACTAACCAGCACAAAGGCTACAATTATTATTAGCTACTTTTGTGACTTCCATTTTGAGTTCAAGTTTTAGAACAATAAGGTTTTAAGGATAGGAAGTCTGATTTTTCTATGTCCTGTTCCCATGTTCCAGAAATCTGGCCAGAGTTCATACTACTTTGTTCTTTAAATAATAAGCTGTGGAGCGAGGCATCAGTGGCTCAAGTTTCTGATCCTAGCTCCTCTGGAGGCTGAGAGCTGAGGATTACAGTTGGAAGCCAGCCTGGAAAGGAAAGCCCATGAGACTCTTCAATTAACCACCAAAAAGCTGGAACTGGAGCTGTGGCTCAAGAGATGGAGCACCAGCCTTCAGTGACAAAAACTAAGGCTCTGAGTTTGAGCTCCAATGCCAGCACAAAGACACACACACACACACACACACCCAAAAACAAGGTATGAGCTGGGCGCTGGTGGCTCACGCCTGTAATCCTAGCTACTCAGAAGGCTGAGATCTGACGATACCAGTTCAAAGCCAGCCCAGGCAGGAAAGACCGTGAGACTCCTATCTCCAATAAACCACTAGAAAACTGGAAGTGGTGTTGTAGCTCAAGTGGTCGAGCGCTCACCTTGAGCTGAAGAGCTGAAGGACAGGGCCCAGGCCCAGACTTCAAGCCCCACCACCACCACCAACAACAACAAAACAAGGTATAAAATAGGTGTGTGACTCAGTAAAGAATATGCCCAGGGGCTGGGAAGGTGGCTTAGTGGTAGAGCACTTGCCTTGCATGCATGAGGCCCTGGGTTCAATTCCTCAGCACCACATAAGCAAAAAGCTGGAAGTGGCGCTGTGGCTCAAGTGGTAGAGCGCTAGCCTTGAGCTGAAGAGCTGAGGGACAGCACCCAGGTTCAGAGTTCAGGCCCCACAACCGGACCCAAAAAAAACCCCAAAAAACAAGTAGGAGACCCTGCGTTCAAACACCAGAACCAAAAAAAAAACAAAAAGAGAAGGTTGGCAAGCTGTGTCTAAACCAGACATATTCTACCAAAGGAATCAATATCTTAAGAGAAATGACAGCTCACTGGTGGCTAATGCCTATAATCCTAGCTACTCCAGGAGGCTGAGATCTGAGAATCACAGTTCAAAGCCAGCCTGGACAGGAAATGCCCCTGAGACTCTTACCTCTGATGAATCACCAGAAAACCAGAAGTGGCGCTGTAGTTCAAGTAATAGAGCACTAGTATTGAGCAAAAAGAGCTCACCCACAGCACCCAGGTCCCAAGTTCAAGCCCCATGACTAAAAGAAAAATTTTAAATGACAGCTCATCTTGGCAAGGCACTACCATTCTGGCTTCTCAATAACAAAAGGCCTTTCTCCTTTGGAAAAGGAGTAGAGAAATACTGGCTCAGCACAGTACTGTGCCTGGCACTGTTATGATGGAGAAATGCTGTGCTCGGCTCACAGTGGGAGACCTAGGGATGTTGTAATGCTAAGTGGCATGAACAACTTTCTGCCATGTGTGAAAAGGCAGTCAGTAAACCAGAAAAGAGAGAGCTATGGACTGTGACCACTCTGAAGGATATAAGCAGAGCTGTGATTGGAGAAAAGAGAATAGAAATATAACTGGAAGACTTGAGAGAAGGTCACTTGTCCAGGTTTTTTAAGTGATCCAAGCATTCTTCTGTCAAACTTCTAAACTAACCGGTGGCTCATGCTTATAATCCTAGCTACTCAGAAGGCTGAGTCTGAGGATCAAGGTTCAAAGCCAGCTGGGGCAAGAAAGCCTGTGAAATTCTTGTGTCCAATTAACCACCAGAAAACTAGAAGTGGTGTTGTGGCTCAAAGTGGTAGCACTAGCCTTGAGCAGTAGAGCTCAGGGACAGCATCCAGACCTTGAGTTCAAGCCCCATGACCAACAACAACAACAAAAAGATATGAAAGCAACAGACTTGCTGGTGGATTGAATTTGGACACACCTGGAAGGCAAAATCCTGTTTCTTGGCTTGAGCAGCCAGCTGATTAATGTAGATTTATGGAGATGAAATGAGCTGGTATTTTTTTTTTCTTTTGCTGGTCCTGGGGCTTGAACTCAGGGCCTAGGTGCTGTCCCTGAGCTGTTTTTGTTCAAGGCTAGTGCTCTTTGAACCACAGTGCCACTTCTGGCTTTTTCTTTCTTTTTTTTTTTGACAGTTACAGGACTTGAACTCTGGGCCTGGGTGCTGTCCCTGGACTCTTTAGCTCAAAACCAGTGCTCTACCATTTGAGCTCCACAGCCACTTCCAGTTTTCTGGTAGTTAATGGAGATAAGAGTCTCACAGACTTTCCTGCCTGGGCTGGCTTTGAACTACAATCTTCAAATCTCAGCCTCCTGAGTAGCTAGGATTATAGGCGTGAACCACAAGCACCTGGCTGGATTTTTCCTGTTGATGTAGTGCTGAAGAATGGAACCCAGGGCCTCATGCATGTGAGACAAGCACTCTATCACTAAGCCACATTTCCAGTCCTGAGCTGGAGAATATTATTTGCTGATAGTTTCCATCTTGAATTTGTCAAGTTTTGGATGCCTTTAAGACATCTAAATGAAGACACCAAGTAGGAAGATAGAAGTGTCCCATGACCCTTAGAGTCAGGACACATGGGTTTGAATCCAGACTTTCCTAATAGTTGTGCAATCTTTGACAAATTACTTAACCTCTTTGTACCTCAACTTTGTCTCTGACAAATGGAGATAAGATAGTCAGTACTGGAGAAGTAGGATTTTTCTGACAAATGGTAAGATACATAGTAAGCACTCAGAAAAAGGTTAGCTAGGGCTGGTAAAGTGGTTCAGTGGTAGAGTGCTTGCCTTGCATCCATGAAGCCCTGGGTTTGATTCCTCAGCACCACATGAGCAGAAAAAGCTGGAAGTGGCGCTGTGGCTCAAGTGGTAGAGCACTTGCCTTGAGCTAAAGAGCTGAGGGACAGCGCCCAGGCCCAGAGCTCAGGTCCTACGACAAAGAAAGGAAGAAAGAAAGAAAGACACAAAGAAAGAATGAAAGACAGAAAGAAAGAAAAGAAGGAAGGAAGGAAGGAAGTTAGCAAAGCAAACATTTGAGTGCCTGCCTAGCAAGTGCAAAGCTTTGATTTCAAACCCCAATACCGACACAAAAATGTATACTATTAGCCAGGCGCTGGTGGTTCATGCCTGTAATCTTAGCTACTCAGGAGACTGAGATCTGAGGATCATGGTTCAAAGCCAGCCTAGGCAGGAACATCTGTGAGACTCTTGTCTCCAATTAACCACTCAGAAAACCGCAAGTGGCGATGTGGCTCAAGTGGTAGAGCACTCGCCTTGAGCTGAAGAACTGAGGGACAGTGCCCAAGCCTAGAGTTCAAGCCCTATGACTGACAAAAAAAAAAGTTTGCTATCAACAAACGTTGTATTGTGAGTATAGAGCTCTCAAGGAAGATCAGCAATGGACACATAAATCATGGAGATAGATATATAGATATTGTTAGTGGCTAATGTCTGTAGGTTAGTCCATGTTCTTACTCCTTCTCCATAGCCTTTCTGTGCTTAGAAATCCTGAAACTAGATTTCCCAGGCTCCTGCAGTTAGAAGTGATGTGACAGTTTTGACCCATCAGATGTAAACAACTCTGCCAAAGGGATAATGGTGGTATCTGGTGTTTCCCCTCTTCCTCACCTCCGGTGAGGATCACCTGGTTGGAAACAGTAGCCACCTCCTGACAGTGAGGTAGCAACAGGAATAAAAGACCACAAGGACCACAAAGGTGTCCATTTTCTGCTCTTCAGGTACTAGACATATCTAGCAATCTCTTACCAAGATTGCTGGGTAGGCTGGGAAGGTAGCTCAGTGGTAGTGCTTGCCTTGCATGCATGAGGCCCTGGGTTCAATTCCTCAGCACCACAGAAAAAAGCCAGAAGTGGTGCAATGGCTCAAGTGGTAGAGCACTCGCCTTGAGCTGAGGGACAGCGCCCAGGCCCAGAGTTCAAGCCCCATGACCGACAAAAGAAAAAAAAAATTGCTGGACTGCCAGACAGAGTGCTGGTGGCTCATACCTGTAAGCCAAGCTACTTAGGAGGTTGAAATTTGAAGATCATGGTTCAAAGCCAGCCTGAGCAGTAAAGTGTGTAAGACCTGTATTTCCAATTAACAAATAAACAATAAAATAAATTAATAAAAGAAAATGGGACTTGGAGCTGTGGCTCAAGTGGTAGAGCACCAGCCTTAAGCAAAAATGCTCAGGCCTTGAGTTTAAGCCCTAGGACACACACACACACACACACACACACACACACACACACACACAATATTGTTGGGCAAGAAAAATAATTATCTATTTGTTTACATGCCTATTTATTGAGTTAAGAGGTCAAGCATACAGGTATATTGTCGTTTGCAGCTGACATAATATCATGACCTTGAAAGCCATCCATTGGTGGTTATATGTAGGCCATGTGAAAAGTGTGGCCTGGGAAAAGTGGGCGTCAGGGGAGCTGAGGGTTAGCGGTGTTTAAAGGAAAAGGAGAGGAAGGAGAGCACCCCAAGGAAAAGCCAGCCGCTTGCCAAGGGCTGGGAGGGAGGGCGGAGCAGGGAGAGTCAGGAGCACGGGAAAGGAAACTAGGAGGGAGAAGTTCCAACAGGGAGTGTCCAGGACTTCCCCCCCTGCCCCCCCAGCCCCACCGTGCCCGCCCCCACCTCACTTATAGATGAGTGCAGGCACCGGTGTCCGCCCGTGTCCCCAGCCATGCCCACCGACCTCAGTGGCACCTGGAACCTGCTCAGCAGTGACAACTTTGAGGGCTACATGCTGGCCCTAGGTAGGACAGGAGGGGTCTGGGCCACCAGAGGGAACTTGGAGAGGGCTCCAGGCCCTGGCTGCAGGTCTTGGGTGGGGAAAGGCAGCCTGGCTTGTTTGTCCCCTGTCCTTCTGTCCAGCCCCCACTCCCCATTCTCATGGGTCAGTCCATAACCCCTCCCTCCCTCCCTCCACCTGTCCATTCCTTTGTCCTACTAGCTGTTTATCCTGCCTTTCCCTGCCCTCTTCAGCCCCCAAGCCCCATCCCCCCCATCCCCCACCCCGCCCCGGAGCCTCTGTCCCCCTTGTCCATCCCCAGTCTGTCTCTCCCTGCCAAAGCTGGCCCCACGGCTCACTCTAAGCCAGCAGGGACAGGGTAGGCCACCTGGGGAGGGGGGCACTGGGGGTTGGGGGGTGTGGAGGGCAGAGATCCAGCAGGAAAAGCAGGGAGCCAGGGTCATGGTTACCCCAAACCGGCTTGTTCTGGGCAGTGACTGTCCCAGAGAGGTCAGGACTCACCGCAGGAGTCCGTGGGGTCAGAAATCTCAAGATACCCCTGGCTTCCCTCGCCCAGGAGCAGGGCCCCTGGGCCCTTCCTCCGCCCCCCTCAGGCCTCCCCAAGCTACACCGCCCCCCTGCCGGCAGGCGGCTGTGATGGGAACCCGGGTCAGGCAGATTAGCTTTGTATGCAGCCGTGGGAGTGGGGCTGGGCCAATGTCTCGGGATGGTGGGGGGCCATGGTGGGGGCCACAGGAGGCCCTGATCAGTGCCTTCATTTCCCAGAGGGCCAGGGAATGTGTTTCCTGCCATCCCTGTGCTATGTTGGTTTCCCTTTGAACCTCGTTCTTGTTTTTTTTTTTTTTTTGATCCGGTCCTGGGGCCTAAACTCTGGGTCTGGGCGCTGTCCCTCAGCTCTTCAGCTCAAGGCTAGCGCTCTACCACTTGAGCCACAGCGGCTTTTTTCTTTTTGCTTATGTGATGCTAAGGAATCGAACCCAGGGCCTCAGGCATGCAAGGCAAGCACTCTACCACTGAGCCACCTTCCCAGCCCCTTGAACCTCGTTCTGCTCTGGATTTTAACACCTATTTTGTGGCAAGCACTTTGTCTGGGTGGCACTCACTGTTCCTAGGAGTCTTTGACAAGTGACTGGAGGGGTTGGACCTAGGCTCCTGATCTAGTGACACTGGCCTCAGCTTTCCAACTGGAAATTGAGAGTGAGGGTGTCTGGCATGTTTCTTTAAAAAAAAAAAATAAAAATAAATAAATAGGGGAGCTGAGAAGGTGGCTCAGTGGTAAAGTGCTTGGCCCAGAGTTCGATGCCTCAGCACCACATAAACAGAAAATGCCAGAAATGGCACTTTAGCTCAGATGGTAGAGCGAGAGCCTTGAGCTGAAGAGCTAAGGGACAGCGCCCAGGCCCAGAGTTCAGTCCCCACCACGGATTAAAAAAAAAAAAAAAGGTAGGGGAGGAGGCTGAAGGTGGGGATCTGTGGTAGAGGTTGGGTGAGAACTGGAGGTCAGCCTCAGCACAAGAAAAAAAAAAACGCAAAAGAGGATATTTCACGTTTGCTCCTTAATCATTGGAAATGCACAGTTCTGCAGCTGCAGAGTTGTTTCTAAGGACTCTGAGCCTGTGAAGGCCTCTGTTCCCTAATTCTCTCCCTAATTCCCAAGTAGGGAAAATTTCACCTTCTCTAGTTAAGTCAGATCCTTTTGTCCCATCAACAACATGGCCTAGTTTTTCTGGTTTTTTTTTTTTTTTTTGGTCCGGTCGTGGGGCCTGAACTCTGGGCCTGGGCGCTGTCCCTCAGCTCTTCAGCTCAAGGCTAGCACTCTACCACTTGAGCCACAGCGCCACTTCCGGCTTTTTTCTTATGTGGTGCTGAGGAATCGAACCCAGGGCCTCAGGCATGCAAGGCAAGCGCTCTACCACTGAGCCACCTTCCCAGCCCGGCCTAGTTTTTCTATATATTCTGTTGTGACCCCTGTTTGATACTTTCTCTGGCCTCAAAATTCGAATTTTCTTGTCTCACCAGCTTGAATGAGGAATTATAGGTGTGAGCATTGTGCATGGTGAAGCCATGCAAGATTGAGCCTTTGTCTTCTCTCCCACTTCTTTTTTTTTTGGGGGGGGGTCCGGTCGTGGGGCCTGAACTCTGGGCCTGGGCGCTGTCCCTCAGCTCTTCAGCTCAAGGCTAGCGCTCTACCACTTGAGCCACAGCACCACTTCCGGCTTTTTATTTTTGCTTATGTGGTGCTGCATGCAAGGCAAGTGCTCTACGACCTTCCCAGTCCCTCTCCCACTTCTTGCTCTTACATTTGGTTCTGGTTCCAGAAGATACTAAATCTAAATAACTATTTTGTATTTTATTCTATTTCATATATTCATTAAGGAAAACAAGGCCTATTTAAAGTAAACTAAAAATAGCTGGGTGAAGCAGGCACTGGTGGCTCATGACTGTAATCCTAGCTACTCAGGAAGGTGAGATCTAAGGATCACAGTTTGAAGTTAGCTTGGGAAGGAAAGTCCATGAGACTTTTTTGTTGTTGTTGTTGGTCATGGGGCTTGAACTCTGGGTTGGGCGCTATCCATGCACTCTTCAGCTCAAGGCGAGTGCTCTACTGCTTGAGCCACAGCACCACCTCAGGTTTTCTAGTGGTTTATTGGAGATAAGAGTCTAACAGAGCTTCCTGCCCGGGCTGGCTTTGAACCATGATCCTCAGATCTCAGCCTCCTGAGTAGCTAGGATTATAGGCGTGAGCCACCAGCGCCCAGCTCCAAGGAGACTTTTATCTTCAATTAACTACCAGAAAACCAGAAGTGGAGCTGTAGCTCAAAGTGATAGAGTATTAGCTTTGCGCATAAAAGCTCAGGAACAGTGCCTAAGCCTTAAGTCCAAGCCCCACAACTGACCAAAAAAAAAAAAAATGCTGGGTATTAGTGGTTCACATCTATAATCCTAGCTACTTGGGAAGATAAGCTCTGAGGATCCTGGTTTGAAGCCAGCTTAGGCAGAAAACTCCATAAGACTGAAAATGCTGGAAGTAGAGGTGTAGCTCAAGAAGTAGAATGCCAGCCTTGAGTGAAAAAGCACTCAGGCTCTGAGGTCAAACCTCAGTACACACACACACACACACACACACACACACACACGCACACAAAGCTACCAAATAGGTTAGTGTTAGTGGTATAGCTCAGGGTGGACTGGGATTTCAACTCTCTGATGTTCTCAGCATTGCATGGTTTCTATGAATAACTTTAAAAAAGCTTATTAAAGACTTGTAAATATACTGTAGTATATCCATGAATGTAAGATTGAACCTTCCTTCCTTCCATCCTGCTCTTTCCCTCCTTCCCTCCTTTTTTTTCTTTCTACCCTTCTTTTCTCTGCTAGGGTTGGAATCCAGGACCCTGCATATGCTAGGTCTTCTGTCACTAGCTACATCCCCAGCCTTCAATGCTTTCTTAACTCAAAATAGAAATATATGGAGAGAAAAGGGCAACGTAGGCTTGTGGCTGGTTAGGGGGCTCAGCCCTATCTCCTTGCCTTCCTTGTCTCCTTGTCCGTCTGTGGAGGTTTCCAGAACTGCTTCACCGTGGCCAGCTTCAAACCCATTGCCTAAGGCACAGCCAGACCAATGACTGTTATGAAAGCCACCAGACTTTTTCCTCAGTCTCTGGCTGGACATCTGCTGGATATGGTGCCAATGAAGCTGCAAAAGAAACACTAGCGATCACATGTGAAACTCTGAGCAGCTCTCGAATTCTCAGCTTTCACATGTCAAGTGATTGGATATTTAACAATTATTCCAGGCATTGACTTTGCTACTCGTAAGATAGCCAAACTGCTGAAGCCACAGAAGGTGATTGAACAAAATGGGGATTCCTTCACCATTCACACATACAGCAGCCTCAGAAACTACCTTGTCCAATTCAAAGTTGGAGAGGAATTTGAGGAAGACAACAAAGGCCTGGACAACAGAAAATGCAAGGTAAGGTAAGCTGATGGAGCCAGAGCACCCTTGACTCACACATGAAATCCTAGCTACTCAGGAGGCTGACATCTGAGGATCTTGGTTCAAAGCCAGACTGGGCAGCAAAGTCCATAAGACTCTTACATACAATTAACCACCAGAAAACTGAATGTGGCTCTGTGGCTCAAAGTGACAGAGCACTATCCTTGAGCATAAAAGCTCAGGGACAGCACCCAGGCACTGAGTTCAAGCCCCATGACAGAAAAAAAAAAAGAACAGAAAGAAAAGAAATGAAATGAAATGAAACGAGGCCCTGGGTTCAATCCGTGCACTACATAAAAGCAAAAATACATATTAAAATAATAACCATAGGCTCCTAATTTTGAGTGGTTTACTTGACATGTATTCTAGTGGGTAATACATTTATTTATTTATTTATTTGCCAGTCATGGGGCTTGAACTCAGGGCCTGGGCGCTGTCCCCGAGCTGCTTTTTTTTTGCTCAAAGCTAGTGCTCTTACCACTTGAGCCACAGCGCCACTTCCAGCTTTTTTTTTTTCTTCTGTTTATGTGGTGCTGAGGAATCGAACCCAGGTTCTTATGCATGTAAGGTAAGCACTCTACCACTGAGCTACCTTCCCAGCCCCGGGTAATATTTTTTGTGTGTACTGGTATTGGGACTTGACCTCGGGGCCAGGGAAATATACCTTAGCTTTTTTACCCAAGGCTTGTGCACCAATACCTGATCTACACCTTCACTTTTGGCTTTTTGGTAGTTCATTGGAGGTAAGAGTCTCCCAGACTTTTCTGCCCATGCTAGCTTTGAATCTCGATTCTCAGATCTGAGCCTTCGGAGTAGCTAGGATAACAGACATGAGCTACCAGTGCCTGGCTTCTAGTGGATAATAGCTGAGGATCCTGTCAAAGAAAGCCAACCATTTCTTTCCTCTTTAATACAGAGCTTGGTTACCTGGGACAATGAAAAGCTCACCTGCGTGCAGAAGGGGGAGAAGAAGAACCGAGGCTGGCGCCACTGGATTGAAGGGGATAGACTCCACCTGGTACCTGCCACATTATGCTTTTATTTTGGGAGTGACAACATAATATTAAGAAAAAAAAGCTTAGTGCTTATGGCTCATGCCTGTAATCCTAGCTACTCAGGAAGCTGAGATCTGAGGATTGTGGTTCAAAGCCAGCCTGGGCAGAGAAGTTGTGAGACTCTCCAATTAACCAACAGAAAAGCAGAAGTGGTGCTGTGGCTCAAAGTGGTAGAGTGCTAGCCTTTGAGCGAAAAAGCTCAGGGACAGCGCCCAGGCTGAGTTCAAGCCACAAAACCAAGCAAGCAAGCAAGAAAGAAAGGAGGGGAAGGGAGGGGAAGGGTAGGGGAGGGAAAAGAAGGAAAGGAAAGGGGTCAGGTGCCAGTGATTCATACCTGTAATCCTAGCTACTCAGGAGGCTAAAATCTGGTGACTGAGGTTCAAAGCCAGCCCAAGAAGAAAAATGGGAGACTCTCATCTCCAATTAACCACCAGAAAGCCAGAAGTTGAATAGTGGCTCAAGTGGTAGAGCGCTAGCCTTGAGCTGAAGAGCTGAGGGACAGAGCCCAGGCCCAGAGTTCAGACCCCATGATTGACAAATAAATAAATAAATTTTAAAAAAGAGTCAAAATAGACCATAAACCAACTTATCCTTCTTGTCTTCTTCCTGTCCCAGGAGATGTTTTGTGAAGGCCAAGTGTGCAAACAGACCTTCCAGAGAGCCTGAGCGCAGCACATTTGTGGGCACAGCTTAATGTCAAATTACATTGCAAAATATACCTGAGTTTGTCTCGGTTTGGTGACGGGGCTTGCAGTTGGAGAGAGGTCATACAGCTTGAACAAGAAGCCATTTACATTGGAAGAAAAATTCTCCTTCAATAAACCTATCCAGGTGACTCTGATCTTTTTCTTTCTAAATTTCTCATGGTGCCTTATCTTATTAAGTATTTGGAAACACAAAATATACAGTGAACAAGGTGAGATTTCTACCTGCCAGGCCAGCGAGGAAGGTGGAGAAAGGAGTAATGTAAGCACTAGTAATGACACCAGCTCTGGAGGGGCAGACCGCTTTTGGGGTGAGTATGGTGTCATTGCAGTGTCACAGAGGTCCCTAAGCTAAGACTGAAACCTGAGTGAAGAGATGGTGCAATCAGAAAATGTCTTGAGGCCAGGTGTGGTGGTACACACCTGTAATCCTAGCTACTTAGGAGGCTGAGTTCTGAGGATCATAGTTCAAAGCCATCTGGGGCAGGAAAGTTTGTGAGGCTCTTATCTCCAATTAATTACCAAAAAAAGTTGTAAAGAGAGGTGTGTGGCTTAAGTGATAGAGCACTAGCCTTGAGCACAAAGAGGCTTAGGTACAGTACCCAGGCCCTGAGTTCAAGCCTCAGGACTGGCAAAAAAGAAAACATCTTGAGCTGGGTGGAGCGGAGTGGAGCTGGGTGGATGCAGTGGCTCATTCCTATCATTTTAGCTACTGAGGAGGCTGAGATTTAAGGATGGAGATTTGAAGCCAGCAGAGGCAGAATAATTCAAGGGACTCTTATCTCTAACCAGCAAAAAGCTAGAAGTGGTTCACATGGTAGAATACCAGCCTTGCACAAAAAAGCTACAGGACAGCACTTGAGTTCAAGTCCTACTATCAGTACCCCTCCCCCACTCCCCTCCCCCCCCCCTTTTTTTGGTCCGGTCGTGGGGCCTGAACTCTGGGCCTGGGCACTGTCCCTCAGCTCTTCAGCTCAAGGCTAGTGCTCTACCATCTGAGCCACAGCGCCACTTCCGGCTTTTTTCTTTTTGCTTATGTGGTGCTGAGGAATCGAACCCAGGGCCTCAGGCAAGCGCTCTACCACTGAGCCACCTTCCCAGCCTTCCCCCATTTTTTTTAAAGGTTGGTCCCAAGCCTTCATCCTGGGTTTGAAGATGCTTGACATCTTTTTTGTCTCCTATGCTGAGGATCAAACTCACCATTCCACTTACAGTGGAAAGAACAGAGTAAAAGGGCTCAAGTGCCTGAGGCCTATTTATCCCTGCAATAGCCAAATACTGTGTGTGTGTGTGTGTGTGTGTGTGTGTGTGTTTACTGGTCTGGGACTTGAATCCAGGGCCTGGGTGCTATCCTTTAGCTTTGCTCAAGCTACAGTTTTACTTCTGGCTTTTTTGGTGATTACTTGGAGATAACAGTCTCAAGTGTTAGGAAAATGGAGGAGAAAGAACAGGTCAGTTTCGATCTCAACAGGTGAGAACTGGTTATTATAGCAGGGAAGGGCAAGCAACCTCCCCACAGGAATGGAGGTTGTGCAAGGAGGTGGGGTTGGATTAGACTTTTATGGGGTCTGAGCACAGAGATAGAAGTTTTCAGGGCAGGGCTGGGAAGGTGGCTCAGTGGTAAAGCGCTTGCCTTGCATGCTCAAGGCCCTGGGTTCGATTCTTCAGCACCACATAAGCAAAAAAAGAAAAAAGTCGGAAGTGGCGCTCTGGCTCTAGTGGTAGAGCGCTAGCCTTGAGCTGAAGAGCTGAGGGACAGCACCCAGGCCCAGAGTTCAGGCCCCACGACCGGACCCAAAAAAAAAAAAAAAGAAGTTTTCAGGGCAGGGGGAGGTAATTAACAGGTATGGGCAGAAAATAGAGTACCAATCTATCCTGTGGTTACAATCATTAACATGAGACATAGTTGGTATACATAGTGATAATTGACTCCCTTATCATTAATGAGCAAAGGGAAGTGATTTTATTTCCAAGGTCTCAAGTTTTTAGTGTCCAAACAGCTGTAACTTACACACACTTAGGATAGTAATTTATTCATCGGTCTTGCTATGACTGACCTTTTCAGGGACCCTTTCCTAATCTCACAGCTAGGCCCACAATGGAATGTGGTTGGATTGGCCTGTCTAGGTCAAGCATGTCTGTGCATTCCTGGGGTTTTGCCTGGTGTCTGTATATGCCTGGCATAGTAGGTTAGGGGTCAATCCTTCATCAAGGACTTTCTGCTTGGGCTGTCTTTGAACCCTGATCTTCCATCTCAGCCTTCTGAGTAGCTAAGATGCCAGGCATGAGCCACCTGCACCTAGCTTAGACAAATACTTTAAAGCGCAGGAGGAGGAACTTTGGAGGTGTCTATGCAACCCTCTTCTTCCCTTCCTCACCTTCCTTTCTTCTTTTTTTCTTTGCTCCAAGGAAAAGGCTGGCTTTCCTGGGTCTCAGTCTCTGTAGGGGAATGTGTGTGTGTGTGTATGAGTGAGTGTGTGTGCATATGTATGTGGAAACCTGTAACCACAGGCAATGTTTTTTTTTTCTTGAAAAATACTTTTAAAAAAAATTATTTGTTCGGTCATGGGGCTTGAACTCTGGTCCTGGGCACTGTCCCTCAGCTCTTCAGCTCAAGGCTAGAGCTCTATCACTTGAGCCACAGTGCCACTTCCGGTTTTCTGAGTGGTTTATTGGAGTCTCAGGGACTTTCCTACCTTGGCTGGCTTTGAACCGTGATCTTCATATCTCAGCTTCCTGAGTAGCTAGGATTACAGGCAAGAGCCACCAGTGCCAGCTATTTTCTGTCTGGTGTAGCTTATTAGACTTGTGATCCTCTCATTCTCAGCTTCTATGTAGTCAGGATTAACAGGGGTGAGTCACCTGCTTCCAAGTCCCTTCTTTTTGTTTCTTTAGTGTACTTGATCTCAATGCCTTGTGCTCTCTCTCAACTTTTTCAAGGTTTCTTTTTTTTTTTTTTTGCCGGTTGTAGGGCCTGAACTCTGGGCCTGGGCGCTGTCCCTCAGCTCTTCAGCTCAAGACTAGCACTCTACCACTTGAGCCACAGCACCACTTGCAGCTTTTTCTGCATATGTGGTGCTGAGGAATCGAACCCAGGGCCTCATGCATGCAAGGCAAGCACTCTACCACTGAGCCACCTTCCCAGAACTTTTTCAACTTTGAACAGTGATCCTCAGAACTTGGTTTCCTGAGCCACCAATGTCCAGCTTATGGGGTTTTTTGTTTGTTTGTTTTGTTGATCGTGGGGCCTGAACGCTGGACCTGGCTCTTCAGCTCAAGGCGAGCACTCTACCACTTGAGCCACAGTGCCACTTCCAGCTTTTTATGTTTATATGGTATTGAGGAATTGAACCCAGGGCCTCATGCATTCAAGGCAAGCACTCTACCACTGAGCCACCTTCCCAGCCCCAGCTTATGTGTTTTACATGTATTAATTTACTGGATTTGAGCAGCCTATGAAAGTTACTTGTTTTTCTGTCAGTTGTGAGGCTTGAACTCAGGGCCTGGGTACTGTCCCTGAGCTCTTTTGATCAAGGTGTGCTGTTTAGGCTGGCTTTGAACTGCAATCCTCCTAGGATTGCAGGCATGACCCAGCACCCAGTGAAACAGCTACTATCTTTATCCCTGTTTTATGTTAGAGTCACAAAGACGTTGTACAGTGAGAAACAGAGAAGCCACATTTTGAGAGGCCCGAATGGAAGTCTTTATTGACAAGCTGGTGACTGCAGGTGGACTCCTGTCTCAAAGACCCACAGCCCTCACAAAGCTTTAAAAGACAAAAGCACACATTTGGGGTGGAGATCCAAATCTGACAGAAACAGATCAGGTAGGGAAGTGCTCAGGTCCCAGCAGAACTTTCCACCTAGGGCAGTAGCTCAGGGATCAGCTTAAACTTTCCATATTGGGGTGTGTGTGTGGGGGGAATGCCTCAAAACCATTTAGGGAGGTAATCATGGACCAGCATTTTCTGTAGCCAAAGCTCTCCTAAGGCTAAACAGCATGACCTCTGTCATTCAATGAATGACCTCTCTCACCTCCAGGCTTTTCTGAGCTGGGTGGAAAGCCCCCTCCACCCAGCAAGGTACTGAGATGGCTGTGAGAACAAGGCGTTGTTACTTAGACCCCGTCTCCTTGTTTCAAGATATTAACTTACCTAAGGTCATGGAGTTAGTATAATAAGGAGACAGAAGTTTTGACCAGGGAATCTGTGCTATACTTTGCTGCATGACATGGTTGATACATTCAATTAAATAATTTTATTGTGATGATTCATGTTGCTCACTATACGCTGCCATGTTCTCCTTATAGATGGCCCTCCCCTTCATTATTTTGACCATTAGAACATCAAGGAAGAAAATGCTCAGTGATGTGTGTGTGTGTGTACAGCTCAGAGACAGCACTCAGCACTCACTCAGTCCAGGGAGGACTGATCCCCAGCACTGCAAAACAAAAATGAACAAAAAATTAAGAACTGTCAACTGGCAAGGCCCCGGTGGCTCACACGTATAATCCTAGCTACTCAGGAGTCTTGAGATCTAAGGATCGCAGTTCAAAGCCAGCTCAGACGGGAAAGTCCATGAGACTCACCTCCAATTAACCACCAGAAAACCAGAAGTAGTGCTGTGGTTCAAAGTGGTAGAGTGCCAGCCTTGAGCAAAAATAGCTCAGTGGGGGGCTGGGAAGGTGGCTCAGTGGTAGAGTGCTTGCCTTGCATGCACAAGGCCCTGGGTTCGATTCCTCAGCACCACATACACAGAAAAAGCTGGAAGTGGGTACTATGGCTCAAGTGGTAGAGTGCTAGCCTTGAGTTGAAGAGCTCAGAACAGTGCCCAGGCCCAGAGTTCAAGCTCCTCAACCAGCAAAAAAAAAAAAAAAAAAATAGCTCAGTGTCAGTGTCCAGGCCTATGACTGACAAAGAAAAAAAAGAAAAAAATTCCCAAGTATAACATTACAAGAAATCTTTTATTTTTCTTCAAGATGAGATGTAGACTTACCAGTTTGAGACCTCTTACTTTGCATTGAAGATGACTGATATGAGAGTGTAATGTTGGCAGCCCCTAGGCTCCTCCCTTCTCTTCCTTTTTTGTCCCAGCCTTATGATTGAGGTGGGATTGGCCACACAGGGGGCTAGACTGGCTTGTTGTAGTATTTCCTACATCCATAACTGATTGGCTTCAGGACAAGTACTATGAGCACATTTAGCCCAATCAGAGTTCAGGATTTTTTTATTTTTTGGTCTGTCGTGGGGCCTGAACTCTTGGCCTGGGCACTGTCCCTGAGCTCTTCAGCTCAAGGCACTTGAGCCACAGTGCCACTTCTGGTTTTCTGGCGGTTTATTGGAGATAAGAGTCTCATGGACTTTCCTGCATAGGTTGGCTTTGAACTGTGATCCTCATATCTCAGCCTCCTGAGTAGCTAGGCTTACAGGTGTGAGCCACCAGTGCCTAGCAGCTAGGCTTACAGGTGCGAGCCACCAGTGCTTAGCAGGATTTTTTGTTTTTTGAAGGGAGGGGAGGGCTGGTGTCCAAAAACCACTCACTACTGCCCAGGACCTCATAAATAAACATGCGCCCTATCACTGAGCTATAACCTCCAGCTACAAGAATGAGAGAGTTTTTACTTGTTGATGTTAGGAAGAAGTTTATTTTCTCTACTATTTCTTCAAATACACTTCTTTAATACCTAAGCCAGTTTGATTTGGGCTCCCTATTATTGCACCATAACTCTAATTTATGGGAATGCTTTCTAATAGTAGTGAAGGTTACCCTTCTTGTCCAAATTGTAGAATAAAAAGATGAAGGTTGGAAATGATAATTTACTTGAAATCTATCTGATTCTAGAACTCGTTACTGACCATTGTCCCTCTATCCTAGCTATCCATCCTGTCCCAGTGTTATCTCCCAGCATATTGAATAGTGTTGAATATCATCATTAGATACTATTCTGAATCTTCTAGTATTGCTATATATAAAAATGATGGACAATAACAACTGTTGATAAAAATGTGGAGAACTTGGAAGCCACATACATTGCTGGTGGGAATGTAAAACTGAACAGCTGCATGCAACCTAGTAATATCCCTCCTAGCTATATGCCCAAGAGAAATGAAACTATGTCACCACAAAAACTTGTACTGAGAATGTGGCTTAGTGGTAGAGTGCTTGCCTAGCATTCATGAAGCCCTGGATTCGATTCCTCAGTACCACATAAACAGAAAAAGCCAGTAGTGGTGCTGTGGCTCAAGTGGTAGAGTGCTAGCCTTGAGCAAAAGAAGCTTAGGGATAGTACCCAGACCCTGAGCACAAGCCCCAGGACTGGGGGGGAGGTGGGAGGGGCAGGAGAAGAAGAAAGAAACAACTTGTACATGGAAGCGTATTGCAACATTATTCAGAAGAGCCAAAAGGTAGGAATGACCCACCCATCTGCCAACTACGAATTGATAAAATGTTATATCTATGAGATGGATATTGTTTGGAATTAAAGAAGTGAAATACTAACACATATGACAATATGAACCTTGAAAACATGCTAAGTGAAAGAAATCTGACACAAGCAGACACATAGTATATGATTTCTTAGATGAGAAATGTCTCAAACTTGCAAACCTAAAAACAGAAGGCAGATTAGTAATGGGAGGTGAAGAGAGATGAAGGTCTGAAGGTTTATGGGTAGGGGGGAGAATTTTTTGGGGGATAATGAAGTTTTGGAATTAGCAATGATGGTTGAAGAATTCTTTGGCTATCTGAAAATTACTATTTGAGGAAAAGCAATCTTCTCTGTCCAACTAAAATATCTACATCTTGTAATCAGTTCTCATTCTGTACTGATATGTCCTGGTACTGATATTTCCTGAAATTATGTTCTTCTTGATTTTAAGTGGAACTATCATATATGTTGTTTGTAACCAGATAGCCATATCAAGGATATGATTCATGCTGGGAAGGTGGTTCAGTGGTAGAGTACTTGCCTTGAATGCATGAGGCCCTGGGTTAGATTCCTCAGCACCACATAAGCAGAAAAAGCCAGAAGTGGTGCTGTGGCTCAAGTGGTAGAGTGCTAGCCTTGAGCTGAAGAGCTGAGGGGACAGCACCCAGGCCCAGAGTTCAGGCCCCATGACAGGAAAAAAAAAAAAAAGGATATGACTCTACCACTGGAGTTAAATAATAAGCCCCGCCCTTCACCCATTAAGTGGGAACTTTCCACTGACCTTCCCAACCTCCTTCTACTGGATCTGTCAGCAGCCCTGTTCCCAACCAGCCATGAGAGGAATATGCGTCTTTGCCTCCAAAATGACAGCCTCCTCCCACTAGGGATCTTTCACTAATGGTTAGAGTCCTTTCTAATTTCCTTGTATTTTTAGTGAATATCAGTCAATCAATCAATCAATCAAATTGTGAATTTGATATTTTAGCAACAAGAAAGGACTTCACCCTTTGGCTTAGGATAAAATCTAAGCAGACCACCCTGCCCAGTGTGCCTGCCTAGCTCTGGGGAAAGTAATGGCAGTCTACCCATCTATGCAGAAGTAAACTGCTTTGACAAAATCTGTTTATTTATTTTCTGACCCCAGAGGATTGTGTGTTTCCAACAACTGTACACTTGAAACGGAAGAATTGCATGGCATGAGATTTTATGGCAATAATGATGTTTAAAAAGAATTGAAGGTCTTAACATTAATGACATCAGGAGTCCACATTCTGGCTTGCACAGAATTCCTTTCCTGGAAAGCAGATAACATGCAAAGCCAGCAGTGGTGTAATTTTACTCACAAATTCCAAGCGTATCTACTAGTCAGGTTCCTATTTTAAGCATGTAGCAAATAAAATTTAACTCTTTTAGTGCTGGAATGAAAATGTTAAGATCATGCTTTGGTTGCCCACTGTGGTGGCACAGGCCTGTAATCTTCTCACTCAGGAGGCTGAGAGGATACGAAGTGGCAAAACCATTACATCCTTCAACAGTGAGTTCAAGGCCAGCCTGGGCTATAAAGCAAGGCTGTCTCAAAAACAAGATTATGGCTCAGCAAATCATGCCATTCTCTATGGCAGAACCTGTAATTTCATGGTAAAGTTACTTGGCTCAATTTAGCTTTGTGTGTTCTAAAATATTTACATTCACGTCTGTTGAAGGTTGATTTTTTTCAAATGCTGTTCATATTCGGCAGCTATTTGTGTCTCTCATTCAGTTTTACCTTCAAATTTCATCCATATTCATTTTTGAAAGTCTAAGTAAAACGTATGAAAGTTCCTGTGTTAATTTTCTGCCGTGGTCTTTCCTGGGGGCGAGGGGTGCAGAGGATCATAGCAGTTTTGCAGCATAAGAGCAATCAGCAGAGTGCAGAAAAAGCGACACTGCTGTTTTCTGTTGCTTGGTTTCAGCGGCGGCGGGTTTCAGGGCTCCACGTCACTACACCGCAGACACCGTCTGGGAACAACGGAGGCGCCGCGGGAATCCAGGGTGCGAGAGCGCGCCCCCTGCAGGCGCATCTTACGGGATGGCGCGGTCCTTCCAAGGGCTACCCTACTTGCGCCCAGGGCCCCGCCCACTGCCCTGGCGCGGTTGCCACGACAACGCCCCGGCAACGCCCCACTCCGCCCCCCGCCCGTGGCGGTCCCTTTCGCCCCACCCCCTCCGCACGACGCTGCTGCGTGGGAGGGGAGGAGCAGGGGGCGGGGAAAAGACGCAGGAAAGAGGAAATCGGCGGCGCGACGCCCGTTGCCTATTGGCTATCGCTTCCCGAAGCCAGGAGCCCCGCCTCCTCCGCGGGGTCACGTGATCCCTTTCAAAGATGGCCGCCCTGTTGTTTTGATGAATAATACTTGGTGGGGCGAGGGGGTAAGAGTAGGGGTGGAGGGGTAGGAGGACTTACGCTTCCAGCGATAGCTTCGCCAGTCCCACCCTCCCCTCCCCCCTCCCCGGCCTCCAACGTGGAGGAGGGGCGTGTCCGGACTGCTTTTAGAGGGGAGGGGCTCCACGGGACCGCGCCGAGCCTCCACGGGAGCGACCGGGAGGTCGTCTTACCTCAGGGCATCCTCTCGGCCGGCCGGGCTGTTCCCGCCGGGGGCCGAGGGTTGGGAGGGAAGCGGGCTCTGCCTGGACACACGCCGCTGCCGCGCCTCCACCAGGGCGACCCAGCACGTTGGGGGCCGGAGACGAGTTAGGGACCGCGCTGCCGGGTCGGGGTAGCCCGGGAAGCGGTGGGCTGTGAGTGGCGGCGCCGTGAGGTAACCCCGTGGCGGCGGCGGCGGCGGCGGCCCGAGGGGGCTGCCCGGGGCCGGAGCAGCCGGAGGAGTCTCTGGGGCGCTTGGAGCGACAGAAGCAAAGGCAATCCAGTGCCTCGTGTTCTTCTTCTTCTTTTTTTTAACCTCTGACTATGCAATTCTGAAACCTCCCCCATACGGGGGACCAGACAGCTTGATAGACAGACACCTTCCACTCTCCTTGCTCCCGCCCTGGTCTCGAGAACCGAAGGATCTCTCTCCCTAACGCCTTTCACCATTAAGAGGAAAGCGATGGAGGAGCTCAGCGCTGACGAGGTGAGCCGGGGGAGGGACACCTTGAGGGGGTTAGTTGGCAACTCTTTGGCGCTTTAACCGGGGAAGGTATTGCACCATGGTGCTGGGCTTTGGGTTTGAAGAAGGAATGGAGGTGACATTTTCTTTTTTTTTTCCCCCAAGAATAAAATGACTCCCGCAGAGGGTCTCTGGTTATATTCTCTTTTATTCCCTTGCCTTCTCTCTGCATTCCGAACTCCACTTGGTTGTCGAGCGTTCTTAGGGTCTGAGGTGTTCTTTCTTAAGGGATTCAAGTCAACGAGATTGGATTTAGATTATAGATTAAGAGTGTGTCTGTGTGTCTGTCTGTGTGTGTGTCTGTCTGTCTTTGGGAATTTGGAGATTTGGGGAAGAATCAGAATGTTTGAAACCCCAAATATGTAGGGCCATTTCATTGTGTAAGTTAATTAAACAACATACCTTTGTCTTTGGGAGGTGGCTTTACAGACGTGTTCTTCGATATTTGACAAAGTGTTGTCTTTTCTCAGTAGTTTAGAGGATTCCAGGGAAATGGTAGTGATTTTAAGAGACAATGACATCTGGTATTCCTTTCTTTCTTTATGCCTTTTTCTATTTTTCCCTCCTTTTGAAAAACTTACCTTTTTTTTTTTTGCTGTAGCAGAGATTGAACAGGAAGCAAATGGAAGAAAATAACTTTATAAACTCTCTTGTTTTCATTTCTGAAAGGAGCCATACAAATCTTGAGGTTGTAAGAATTTTTATTTATTTTTAATAAGATTGTCCTAAAAGCAGTGGCAAGTAGAGTACAAGGAATTTCCTGTGATTCTACTGACTTTTCCCTGCCTTTTTACAAACTGGGAGACTCTTTCTTGCTAGCTGGCTCCATTCACCCTACCTCCTCATTTTTTCCTTTGGTTGGTTTAAACTTCCTCTGCAGCATTATGAAAGTACTCATCCATCAGGTTGTGTTGTACTGTAAGACTACCAGTGCTCTATTTTTCGCTAGAGTCCTGTGTGCTTACTCAGTCACTAAAATTCTCCAGGGATTGGGCATGCAAGTGGTGGGTAAAGGGTCAGGAGAGAAAGCTAACATAATTTTGTCGATTGTGGTACTTGGTTTCTGGAAAGCCAGGATTGCTCATTTTATTTTACTGACTTGATTCTCTTCAAATATGTAATCTTAAATTAGGAAAATACTGAATAGTTTCTTTCAGGAGATATTAAGAGATTTCCTAGGAGCACTTTGTTTTATGTAGTTTTTAAAAGCACTCCCCTTATCTCTTTTTTTTTATTTCATTCGAAATTAAAAGGCAGAGTCTGTTTTTCCATTGTCCTTTACTCCCAGAAATTACTTTTTTCTTGATTTTTAAATTGTCTGGTTCTTACTTAACGAAGTTTTCACTAAGAAATTGTTTTCAGACCAATAATGTATACAGACTGAGATACTGTATAATCTGAAACATGTCCATCCAGTTTTTAAGGACAGTACAACTTTGTTGTGTCACCTAACATGGCACATATAACCTTTGTGGAAGAGATAAAGGAACTTTTCCCCATATTAGCAGAGTACTAAAAATGAATGTGAGAAATTAAATTCACTAATGTAAGTATAAAGTCATTTTTAACAAATTGGTTGGTCTGAGTACAAAAGAACAGTACAATGACTGGTCATTTTCTTCTAATTAGACTCTAGAAGAAATTGTGTTTTTTGAAAAAAAAAATCGTGTGTGTGTGTGTGTGCACGCGCTTGTGCACGCGCGAGTGTTATTTAAGTCCCATTTCTTTAACTCAGGGTTTAGTTTCCAAGGCTTTTGTCTTTGTGTTATTACTCTGTTGATGAAAATTTGTGTCATAGATGTGGTAGGTGATAATGATTTGGTTTAAAAAAATACATTTCTTTTGTGAAAGTTCAAGCAAACATTTCAGGATTAAAACAGGGATGACACTGATCTCACTCTTAAGTTGGGAAATGAGGTAAGACATTTTCTTTTTTTTTTTTTTTTTTTTGGGTCCGGTCGTGGGGCCTGAACTCTGGACCTGGATGCTGTCCCTCACCTCTTCAGCTCAAGGCTAGCTTTCTACCACTTAAGCCACAGCGCCACTTCCACCTTTTTTCTTTTTGCTTATGTGGTGCTGAGGAATCGAACCCAGGGCCTCAGGCATGCAAGGCAAGCGCTCTACCACTGAGCCACCATCCCAGCCGGACAGTTTCATATTTTAACAAAATGAAAATATTTGCAAATACAGCCTATGAAAAATAAAGACTGGTCTAACCAGACTAGTTGCTTTAGAAGATTTTACATGTAGGCATTTTTTGATAGCTGTCATACAGCATCTTGAATTCTTTTACTTTATTCTCTTGTGCTTTGAAATAGAATTTTTGACCCTCATTGCCATTTGTTATTTATGTAGTATGTTACTGTAAGTTCTTTGTTCTATCCAGAAGATCTGTGACTAAGTTCAGGCTCTTTGGAACCTACATTCCAGGGCATCATCATTTACATTATCTTCATTCTGTAGCTTACTCACATGTTGTTGTTATCTACCAAGATGATGCTCTAACTAGGCCAAGCATTTTAAACTGTTTTCCAACAGTGGTGGTGAGATTGTGTTGAAATGTTTTTCTCTCTTTTTTTTTCTCTTCTTTTAAATCTTTATGACCTACTTCTTCTGCAGGATGACTGGCTAGGATTCAGGGTGTGGTCAAGGTTTTAGAAGAATGTACAGTATTCCTTCCCAAATGCAGAATATGTGACCTTGAATTTTTTTCTTTCCTGTTTTTCTTTCTTTTTTCTTGCTGATTAGCCCAGGCTGCCTTCAAACATGACATACTCCCCCCATCCCAAGTCTATAGATTTAGAGTGTTTTGTAAGTGGAAAACTATTGACCTTTATAGCCTTAGGAACCTTTATTTTGCCAGGCACCTGTATAGCCTATCTCATTTAGTAGGACAGTGCAGTCAAGCAAGTCTATATCGCTTATTTTCAGGTAAGAAACTGAGATTTAGATTAAGTGGTGACCTGATTTAAAAGTGACAGGGTTAGAATTCAGACCAAGGGCTCTTGATTGTAGGTCCCTTTTCACAATTTAACAACTGCTGTAAATTTATCATAGGTCTATATAAGTATCCATGGTGGTACATGACTGTCATGGTACTTGGGAGGCAGAGATGGGAGGATTCTGAGAGCTCAAGGTAAAGTTAGAAAGATCCTGAGGTCTAGGGCTGGGAAGGTGGCTCAGTGGTAAAGCGCTTGCCTTGCATGCCTGAGGCCCTGGGTTCGATTCCTCAGCACCACATAAGCAAAA